ATAAAAGTTATCTAATGTATGTACACTTGATCTTAGTCAAAAGGCCAAGAAGCGATGTTCAATGTATATAAAATTTCATTAGAATGGTGAAAAAATTCTAGAAGGAAAATGGGGATGGTTACGTACTGTAAATATACTTAATACTGGTGAATTATACATAAAAAATGGTTAAAGTGACAGAAAGATTATGATTTCATTGATGTGACTTAAAAATAAATGTGTACATATTAAATTTCCTCTTAACCTAATTTTTATGTTAGGGTACCATGTTAGTTTTTTTTCTTTTTTTTTTATTTTTTGGTGATAGTGGGAATGGAACTTAGGGCCTTCATGCTTAGCTGTACCTCAGACCTTTTTGTCTTTTTCTGTGAGACCCTGTACGTCTTTTATCAATCTTTTAGTCTAACATAGGTTTTCCATTTTTACATTTATCTATATTGCCCACTATAATGCAGGAAGGCTTATGCTAGAGAAATCCCGGTGTATTATAAAGATTCACAAATATTTGGTGAAAAAGGAAAGGAAGACGAGGAAGGTGGAAGAGGGGACAAAGAGCACATGGAAGGACCTAAGTGAAGTAAGTGTTGCTCTAATATGGTTGAAGAAACAGTTGCTATTTCTCCAAATCCTCTTTGTGGGTTTTGTTTCATTTTGTTTTGCTTTTGTGGTGCTGGAGATAAAAACCAGAGCTTCATGCATGCTAGGCAAGTGCGCTGCCACCGAGCCACATCCCAGACTCAAAATTATCCTTAATATCCAGGTCTCCAGCTAACTGGAGTTCCCACACTGAGAGGTTCACCGGGTGGTTAAGAGTCAGGCGTCTGGGTCCTGGGATATCGCTCAGGGGCTCAGCACCTGCGTGGCAAGCATGATGTCCTGAGTTTGATTCCCAGTACCAAAATAATAATAATAATAATAATAATAATAATAATAATTAATAATAATAATAATCAGGCATCTGAAAGCAACCATCTAAGCTGGAAATACTCCTGTAAGAATTGCAAAATATGACACAGCCCATGTCATTGGACCAGGTCCTTAGACCAAGTTAACCAGAAGGCAGGGAACAATACCCACCTCCACGCCAGGGTCCCAGAGCGGGTGAGAGAGAAATGCCAATCAGCACAAGTCTGTCAGCAGCAATTCAGGGCCCAGTCGTGACATGCTTAAACACTGCCTTGTTGTGGTTTTGGTATTTTTTTTTTTCCCAGCAGCTCTGCAATAAGGAAATTGGCATACATTTCTCCATTTGGAGAAACTGAGCTCCTAAAAGATGAGATAGAGACAAAACTGGCAACAATGCCAACCAGACTCTTCAATAGCCTCTTTTTCCTAGACCAGCTCGGCCCGGAAGGCAGAGAAACAGCGTTGCCTCCCTAATGATAACGTGCTGATTCTGTTTGTTTAACTAAGGCTACGCCAGATTAGCAGACCATAATTACAGCTAAAATCCTTCTCTCTGATATAGTAGACAGAATGTCTGTTTCACTGAGCCGAATTCGGAGGAAAGGTTTTGCTCAAGGTTAAGCCAGGCTGTCTGAAAGCAATAGCGCCTTTGCAGTGTCCACTGGCAATGTCATCCGAGCAGCGGGATTTCCTAAGGCTCAGGTTGCAGATGGTTTACTTTGATTTCTTGAAGTGATAAATGAGTTTGCTCATCTTTAAATGGCGTTTTTAGTGGCGACCTCATAGAAAACCATAAGTTCTTCCCTTTGTGTCTAGGTGGGAAGAGATCTGCCTATTTATTGTTATACAACTTTATATGCCAGACTTCTTTTAGAACACACACACACACACACACACACACACACACACACACACACCCCTCTACTTGCTTTTCAGGTTATGCAGGAAATAATGGAGTCTGCTGCTAATAGTCCTTCTTGCATTCAGTCAGCTTTAAACTTCATGTTTAATTCCTTGAGGTTTAGAGAGGACAGTCAGTTGGTTCAGTCAATGGTGGTTATCTACAATGGATCAGGAAATATTGTCCCGCATTTTGCCAAAATCTTTTATGAAATTCTTGCTGTCTATCTCATCCATTTTCTATTTACTCTCTGCTTTGTACATCATGAAGCATATTGTAAACCTAATTTGACTAACACAGCAAGGGAGAAATCAAGGCAGAGGTACGCTGGGAGTAGTCGGGTGTAGGAGGAGCAGCATTCAGACAGCTCTGTCTTCCTACCCCCACCCACCCCACACTTTCCTTAAATAAAACCCACACTTTGTGGGCTTTCTAATGAATAGTGGTCCAGGAGCAGTCTGACATCGGAGGCCTGCCATTACCTTTTTCTTTTTCTTTCATTCCCTCTCCTTAATTAGGGGCTTTAGAGGGAGGTTGCTCACAGTTTCTGACAAGCAGTATCAGCCTCCTGAGAAGACAGGGAGGATGCCTGACCTTAGAGTTCTTTCCGGAAGAGCTGACTGTTTTGTTGAGGGCCAGCCCAGAGCCTGTGACATTCTGTACTTCTGTAGAATGCAAGAGGCCTGCCTTGACCAAGAGAGCTGGAGGGCCACGCATTCCTTATTCCCCGGCGCATGGGCTTCTGGGACTGCTCTCAGAACACCTCCACCATAAGGCAGGAGGTAGATGACTTGGTGCTGAGCTTCGATTTGAGCGAATCTCACCACGCTTTACCTGTAACAGGCACGCACACCCTGACACAGAAGGGCCAAAAAAGGCTATAAACAGCATCTGTCCTTAGCACAGGCAATGCCCTCTACTTCGTATTCTACATCGCTTCTCGGCCTTTTGGCTAAGATCAAGTGTACTTTGCGTTCTATTTCATATCATTTTTCAAACACAAATCTCCACCCACTGAAGTGCTTCCCTCCCACTGAGGAGTGGCAGGGTAGAGTTTGATAAAACAGTCGGAGGATGCCCTTTCATTTCTTTAACCCTGTAATTCGATACAGAGCGATCTGGAATCCAGGACAGGCCTGATGAGTTTGAGGTATGGAACACAGGAATCTGGTCAGAGCTGGGTTTATTGTGTTTTTAAACCTTTCTCTGTGGGCTCTTTCTCTTCCCTGCAGAGAGGACTCTATTATCTTTGCTCAGAGAGCAGACTCTCCCTGGCTGCTTCCCCCAGCTTCTCTTTGATCCCTGCTGCCCGCTCAGCCCTGCCGCTCAGCCCTGCCCCCAAGCCCTCTCTCCCCAGAGCTCTGGCAGTGGGACTCTCAGGGTTGCTGGCCTGGGCCCTGCTGCGGTTTCACGTCCCCACCTCCCACAGCTCCACCCCCACCCCGCTGAGCTGAGGGAGTGGGGGTGGGGATCTGCCAGGCGAATGGGATTTTTGTGTTTCTGTTTGTTATTCTGTTTCATACGGGATTTAACAGTTTGCTCTAGGACAATATTTAGTTGGTTGCTGAGATGAAAAAAGTGGGTAGTGATTTTCACATAAGTGACTTTTGTCAGCTGGGATTTAATCTGTGAAGAATTTATCCACTGAGATTATTTCTTTATGTTTTTTTTTGTTTTGTTTTTGTTTTTTTTTTTTGAGACACGGTCTCACTATGTAATCCAGGCTGGCCTTGAACTTGGAGTCATCCTCCCACCTTAGCCTCCCCAGTGCTGGGTTTACAGGTGTGCTCCAGCATGTCTGGCTGGATTATTTTTTGTTTTTTGTTTTTGTTTCTGTTTAAGACAGAAATTAGTGATTTTTAGGGATGAGTTAAAAATGAATTTAATTCCTGGTAAATGAATAAATAAATAAATTTTAAATCTGGTACAGGACGATGTGAAGTACCCATTATTGCTGTTGTCCTGGTGTTACAGGTGGAACTCAAGGCCTTGTCTGTGCTAACCATGCTGGGTACCTCTGAGTGACCCCTTCTGCCCCCAGTGCAGTGTGTCTTAAAACACAAGCCACATTTTTATTTATTTTTATTATTTTTTTATTTATTTTTAAATGTATTTGGTTGTTACAGGGTCTCACTGCGCAGCTCGGACTCATAGTGACCCTTCTGTTTTTCAGCTTCTCCAGCACTGGGATTACAGGAGTGTGCCACTCTGCCCAGACTCTGTGGCCCACTCAGCCTGCCCTGGGGGCAGGGCTGGCGAGGCATGTGGTACCAGGGATCGAGCTCAGGGATCCCTGTGCTTGACTGAGCAGGTGCTTTAGTCTGCTGAGCTATCTTGTAGGGCTGGGAGGCATGTCATGCTGGGGATCAAACTGTGGAACTTGGCTAAGCAGGTGCTTTGGTCTGCTGAGCTATCTCTCTGGCTCCCCCAAGCCACATATTTATATGCATATCACCATCAAATCAATACATTCAGGATGGGAAGAGAGGTGAAGAGGACAATGAGGGAGGTGGACACGATCAAAGTATGTTAAAAACATATACAAATATGTCAAAACAGAACCCATAATACTATGTATCTGTGTATGTAGGCAGCATAGTTTGGACAACTGTACTGTGGATATCTACTGATCTATGGAAAGCAGCAGGTAATGTTTAATTTGTTTTGTCTCTTTTTTCAATTGCCCTTTTTCTCTTCTTAATTTCTTGTATATTTCTTTGTTCTTCCAATTTTGCATATATATATATATATATTAATATGAACAACTAGTTGGAAGACAACACTATGCATTACAGCAAATACTGTGAAATTCATATTATTTTGTTAAGTGAAATTCTGTATGAGTTGTTTTTTTAAATGTAGTGATCCTCCTGATTTCAGCCTCCCCAGTGCTGGGATTACAGTCATGTGCCACCACGCCTGGGTTAGCGGCCCAGGAGGCCCCAGAGGGGGGAGTGAGTGTGAGGACAGGACTGGCACAGCACACGGTGGGAAGGATTGAACCCCAGCCCCCGCACTTGCCTAAGCAGGTGCTGAGCTATCTCTCTGGCCCTTGTATCACTTGTAATTTTTGTTTTAATACCATTTGGTACTCTCTTTTAAAAAAATCAGAAACAAATGCAAGAAAATATTAATCAACATATACAGAATTTAAATTTTTAATTTTATTTAGAAAGATAAAATGATAGGCTGATTATATCATTTATTTTACCCATTACATTTGACAACATTTAATGAGCACCTGCTAGCTATAAAACATGTTTCTTGACCCCAAGGCATCTAGGCCTTCAAAGAGAGATAAGAGTGCTCACTCCACAGCACACACTAAAGGGAAATAAGAAGAATGTAAAAAGCCACATATAAAATAAGAAGGAAGATAAAAACACTGCACATGCAGAAGATTATCGTATGAGATTTCAATACATGTCTAAGGACATAGTAGAGCACAAAATGCTATCATAGTGTATCTCCCTTTGAAGAACTCATAAGAATGAAAAGAGAAATCACTCATTCTTACTACATCTGTCCCATCAATATGCCACGCTGCCAAATCTCTCTGCTCCGCTTTGGAACTGAAGGCAGGTTCATCGCTGGGATCAGCAAAGGCAGATAATCCCTGTGCCTGTGCTGTGCTGCGGGCCATGAAGAAGCAACCTTCCTGTGGATTTCTCTATGGCTTCGTTACATTCTTCTCAAATGTCCTTGCTCCCCGACACTGGATGACATCAGAAGGAAGAGACAGAAATGGAAGGAAGGGTGTCTCTTTCTCTCTGGTTGGCTAGGTGGCATTATGTTATAGAGGTGCAAAATACAAATGGCAGATTATATAGTAGCCAATATCTGAAAAAAGTCAAAAGGTATATGAAATGCATCTTAGCAATATGTCTTATATAGCTCAACATATCCAAAATATTACCATTACTATATGTGAGCAATATAACAAAATCTAATACTGTAGATTTGTATTTTACAAATCTGTATCTGGGATACTGTATTTTGCATTCTCTGGGAGAGGAACTACTGTTCTCAAACTCTGGCATGCATTTTTCACCTACAGCACACCTCAGTTTTAACTCTCCCTATCTGTAAGGTTCAGCAATCACAGGTTGCAGGCTACTGTATTAAACTACACAGGTCTAGATAAGTATGCAGAAGTGAGAAAAAAGAACCCTAGATAATTCATGAGTTTCTCTGACACTTACATAAATGGACTCTTACTTTCAGGGATGGGAGAGATGCCTGAAAATCTTTTTTTCTCTTTCTGTTGACAGAGAAATGGGAGTTAACCAACTCAAGATCCTTTTGTTTGTCGTCTTCAATGCTGAGACCTAGAGAAATGAAATAGAGCTGCAGTAGGCTCCCTCCTACTTCTCTGTCAAGTGCTCCATGATCAAAACCTGTTCCAAGGAACACAAAGATGACATGTATGGTCCTCACAGTAGTATCACACCTGGAAGGTGACAAATGATTTCATGCAAAATATCACACTGCATCATTCAATCATACTGTGAAATCTGAGCATGGTGGCACATGCTGATAATCCTGGTGCTTAGGAGGCCATGAGGTTGAGGTCAGGCTGTGTACATAGTAAAAGTGGGTTCAATGCCGGTTCAGCCTAAACTACATAGAAGATCCTGTCTCAAGAAACAAAACCACAAAACCATTCCATGAGATACTCAATGGAAGTATTATGTCCGTTTTACACATAAACAGCATAGAGGTTGAGGAGGTCAAATGATTTGCTCCAAAGTAGCCCTGTAGTATTTACATGTTTTGAAACTCAATCTAGTATGTGCCCCCACTGAAATTCAGACCCCTGGTGAGAGAAAGTAAAGAAAACATTTACAGGAGTATGGATTTTTTTTTTCTTTTTCAGCAAAACTCCAAATAGATCATTTGGCCAAAATTAACAGTGGTGATCATTTTACAAAAGTATTATAAAAATAATCCATTGGCCAATTGAGCCTTTATGTGTTTATTTTTTAAGTTAGACATTATCACTTGTTTTAGGTCATTGCATTTTTGAGAGCAAGTCAATACATTGCAGGCAGGGTTTTTGCATTGGCTCTGACATGTTGCAATCATTTTTGTCTGGGAAAACAAACAAAAGTAAATTGGCAGCATGGTTGTTATATGAGCTGCTGGCAGAGGCCCAGCCCCCAGGACATTGGCTCACCTGCCAACAATACCTCCCTTTCAAGCAATGCCAGCTGTTTTTATAAGAAGTTTTCTGGAAGGAAGCTTTTGTGTTTTGCTCTAGTCAGCAGGATCTAACTTTACTAACAGTCACGTAGAGAATTGCAGCAGTTGAATCAACTTGATTCATTCTTCTTCTGACACTGTAAAACAGCCAAGGGCAGACTGTAAAGTCTCACTCCTTGTGAAAGGTCCCTAGAATAAAAGCCACTTGATAAGAACTCAAAAGAAGAAATAAAAACAGAAAGATATAGCACAATTAAAAGGAAAGTGAGAACTTGAGGATTAGACAACGAAGAGAGAGCAAGGAGAAAAGCTGGGAAACATGACAGGGGCAAAGCCATACCTTTTTATGCACAAGATAGGTAAGGCAATGGTCCTGAGAATCTTCAACATGTTTTTGAAACAAGCAATTAATTGGTAAGATTCTCACCCTGACTAACTATATATGCTGATACCTGTGAACCAAGAAATGGCACGGAAGACAGCAATGTGGGGGCCATCAGGAACATGGCCTTCCTGACAAAGGAAACTGTAATAACCAGGTAACTCCAAGGATCCCACCCTCCTTGTCCTCTTCGAGATCTCTTACTCCCCTCACCACTCCCCTAGAAAATGATTTATTAAGCTGTGAATGAATTTGCAATCACCCAAAAAATAAAATAAAAGGGTAATAAATGAAAACAAGAGACAATAAAAAAAGTCACAGGACTGTCCTGCTACAAGACTGTATATGGTTAGATTTCTAAATTTCTGTGTAAAAATATGCAGCTGTTTATTCCTATTTTTTAAATAATTTTCATTTTTTAAATTGTTTGCCCTCATATTCTGGAGGGATTTAAAGTTTAACATATCAATATTTTATGGAATATACCTGTTCCATGTTATGCCTAAGATGTTTGATATTCAGACAGATAGTTAGGTTAAGCTCAACTGACTATGTTGTAGGGTAATAATAATAAGCTTCTCTTCTGGAGAGTTAACAACCTAAGTTTGCAGACCAAAACTTAGAAAAAAAAGAAGGGCTGCTAGGGCAGCCAACATTTTGGCCTTAGCCTTTCAAGGTCAGTGAAGACTCAGGAAATAGGAGAATCTATACTGTATCACCATGTATTTCAGTTGTGTCCCAAATTTTGTGATAAAGGAGATCATGGGGCCAAAGAGGAGTGATCGATGATGTAGAGTGTGCCTAAGGAGAGTCACATGGAGAGAAAACATTCTCTCAGGCTTTCACAGAAAGCAAATTGGTCAAGCAATGGCTGTGACTCATCCAGATGGCTGACACTGACAAAGGATCTACAAACTGAGGTACAGGGTTTCAGGATAAAACCTGAGGGAATTTGACTGACCTTATCAGATACAAAAGTTACATTTCTTGTTATATAGGTCTTGCTTTATCTTGATCTTAACCATCCAGCAGAAAAGTATAAAAACAAAGTATGAAAAGTAAAGCCATATTATAAAAGGCTCAAGTCAACAACTTCTGACATTGCCAATCTTATGGAAAACCCAATTCTATTATGGACTATTGGACTATGTTGGAATATTTTGCTGAATTCACACACCTACAGTATTTAAATGACAATGGAATGCCCTTCTCTGACAAAACTAACCAAAAACAGGAGATACAAATGAACAACCATTTTCTGTGTGTATATTCAAAATAGGATATATATACAACTCCATTCTCTTAATTCAATGAATAGAGAGATTTGTTCTAATAGTGTTTGTGGACAGGATATCATGTCTGCATCTTCTACAATGAATAACCACTAAGAAGACAACAATATGCTATGTATTAGTTATTGAAACTGTGCTAGTAATCGGTTTGAAACTGTCTCATTGCTATTTGATTTTCAATAAAATTATTTTCAAAAAAATAAAAAAATAAAAGCCACTCAATACATGTATCACTCTCAACTTTAGGATCCTAATGGACTCTAGAACCACCTGCTTATTTATCTGTTTTCACTCCACATGTTTTTCTGCTCCACCCAACTGTGTTCCTGTTCTAATTCTGCTCTGGAACTACACTGCTTTCTAGCTAGGTCACCATTCAAAATAAATTCTTCTATTTCACATTTACTTTCTTAATTTTTGCTCTGACTTTTTTCAGTTAGCTTTTGGCAAATCATAGTGAAGTTAAGTCTGGTGAACTGCAGAAAATAGGAGTCACTCAGGAAGCTGGTATTTTCTGGAAACAAATTAAAACATTGTAGCAAGCCCTCAGAATGTAGGTCAAACAGTACCAGTATGATCCAGCTGAGGATCAGGGTCCAGCTCATCTCACTTGCAATAAACTCTCTGTATCTTTTTATGGGAATGTTGATAGTCATGATGGTGACTGTGTGGCCAAAGTGCTGAGTGGCAAATCCTTTGTCCTAGTTACATAGGCCATGGATTGTGATTTCCTTAGCAGTAGGCAAATACTGGAAATTCAAAAGCAGACCACTATGGTCCACTAAACCACTCCTCTTATCTAGTTCATTACTTAGCTCTGTCTTCCTTCCTGGACAGGAAATGAGGAGTACATGGATGGGGAATATTATCAAATTTGCAGGAAATATTAATATATCAAGACATTTTTGTAGTAAGCAACATTTCTAGTGGAGGTCAAAGGCATAAACAAAAAAATTATCATTGTCCGTCTCTCTCTCCCCAGTAATACCCTTCCTAGAAATCTTACTCCCAGAAGCTAGTAGACAGGCATTATGGCAAATTACTTGGTCCACTGAATCAATTCAAATAGCATTTTGGATAACTTTCTTAAAAATAATACTCTTTAAATTGCTCTTAAAAATAACGATTAGCCTAATAATTTACTAGCAAATAAAGAGTAGATGAGGTTTGTTGGCAAATTAGCATTAATACTAATGAAAAATAAAATAAAAAGTCTCATCCATAGGATCACATGTTGATCCTTTGCAACACATTTATTTCATCACGACTTACTTGAAAGAAAAGACACCATGGTACAATCTATCACTTGGTAGTGTACATTCTACTATACATTCAAAGTACCTCAAAAGATTCAGACTCTGCTATAATGCTTCATTGATAAGGCCCTGTCCTCCATATTCTATGTCAGAAGTTCAAATGGCTTGCCTTTTTAGACTATTCTTAACTTCTTTGTTGATTAAAAGATGGACAAACATACAATGTCAAATTACAGGCCTAGAAATTGGCCTACCTGACTCATCACTCTGTCTTTCTCAATTTCTATAAAGTCAATACCAGCTACTCATCTTTTGATAGGTAATTTAAAGGGTATCTTTCTTGGGTTTAATTGCAGGGGTTCCTGCAAACATTAATTTGACTTATCAAACACATAGAAGAAAGAGTAGCAAGAACAGTGATATTATTGTTTGTGTATGAGTGCACTGACTTGGTCTCAGGAGTCCTGTGTGAAAGTGTGCGTGCACACATGCCCTGGAGCTCTCTTTGAGTTGTTCCTTTGTTGTTTTTATTATATCAAGTTCTCACATTGATACACACACACACACACACACACACACACACACACACACACACACACAAGTGCATGATGAGAAAATTTTGAGTTGCCTGGAGCTGGTAGGGAGATTGTGTCAGAACTGTTGCCAAAGCAGCAGTGTCCTTACCTGTAAACATTGCTAGGGCTGGCCGGAAGGTACTTAGTTACCCTTCCTACTGCTTTTTCATGCCAAAAGCTGCAAGGAAAAACATCACTCCCTGAGGGAGAGAAAGAGAAAAGACTGCCTCATTATAAACTGCAAGTGTTTAAAGTTATGAAGTTGAGTGAAGTGAGATCATTTAAAAAGCAGATAGTATTTAGGGAAGAAAAAAAGGAACTCTAAAAGATTTGATGTGGGTAGTCTTGCTTTTGTTTTTCCTTTGGTATTTTGAGGCAGGATCGCTGGCCTTAAACTTGCAGCAGGCTACCTGCCTTAGCTTCCTGGTGCCAGGACTGCAGGCATGCGCCATGGTGCCCAGCTTTTGCTTTCTTTATTGTCATCATTACAGAAGATAGTCATACTTATTTCCTTAAAAGAACTGAAAATGTAGAAAAGGATAGAAATTCTTACGATCCCCAATGATTCCACCTCCTAAAATTGTACACATTTATACACACACCTATGAAATCTTATAACATGTACAGAGAAATCTTTCTTGGCAAGATATCATGAATACATGTTACTACATAAGCTGCCTTTTTTAGTTATTAGCAGATCATAAAAAGATGTCCATCTCAGTCAATAGGTGTCTGCAGGCTGGGGAGATAGCTTGGTCGTCTAGGCACCTGTGTGGCAAGTGCAAAGGCTCTATCCCAGGTACTGCATGCCATCCCGGCTCTGGAACCCCAGGTGTGTCATGCAGGCAGACAAAACCACACCTGGTGGTACACACCTATAATTCCAGTGCTGGGGAGGCTGACACAGGAGGATCACTCTGAGTCCAAGCTGCGTAGTGAGACCTTGTACCAAAAAAAAAAAAGGGGGGGGGCATCTGAACCATCATAATTAATAGTATTTGATATTCTTTTATGCTGTTATAAAGTAAATTATTGAACCAATACCCTATGATTGAGCTCCTTCCAACATTTGCAATTATAAACAATTCTATAATAAACAATCTTCTAAATACACTTTTGTGCTGGCCAGATAGCTCAGCGGTTTAAAGTACCTGTTTAGACAAACACAGGGACTTGGGTTTGATCCCTGGTGTGCTGTGCTGGCCCTGCCCTTGGGGCATGCTGTGATGGGGATTGAGACTGGGTGTGGTGGTGCCCACCTATAATCCCAGTGCTTGAGAGGCTGAAAACAGGAGAATCACTGTAGTAAGACCCTGTACACCCTGTACTAAATACATTAAAAATAAATAAATTAATTAATAAATACATAAATAATTATTTAAAATACACTTTTGTGTTTGATTATTATTTTATTTTATTATTATTTATTTTATTTTATTATTATTTAAACAAACACTTTTGTGTTTGATTAAATTCTGAGAATTTTGGTTTCCAGATTAAAAGTAATGCTTATTTTGCTTCTTAAATACAGCTCCAAATTGCCATGTAGCAGAATAATGCCACTTTCTATCCCAGGATCAGTGTAAAAGACCTCTTTCTCAGCTCTCCTATCACTGAGTGACCTGTCACAGATAGATGACACACAGGTGTTTCCATCTAATGGAAGAAAATTTGTATCTTAGTCTCTTGGTATGCTTTACTTTGATTATAAATAATATATTCTTTGTATTTACTGATCAATTATTTTTTAAATTTTTTTAAGTT